ACAAAAAAAAAAAAAGAAAAGCTCAGGCAAGGCCTTAAGATTACTTGTGCGCCATAGCAGCGCGTAGTTAGTTAGTGAGCATGGGCTTACTCCAGCACTGATCAACTCACAGTGCCGGCTCGCTTCCGTGACGCTCACTTCGAATCTCCGTGGAACGCGCGGATCGTGAGCCGTTACGCAGACACTGTTCGTCGTAGTCTTGCTGGATCTGACCCAGTATAGGCCGCGATCTCCATGCTGCAGCGACAGCTCGCAATCGTGCCTTTAGAGAATGTTTATCTGAGCCAGTCTTGATTGCTAAAAAAAGTGACCGCGTAAAACGGACGCTTTTTTTTTTATTCCGGCTCGGGTAATATTGCTCGATCAAAATCCATAATCACCAATGCATTGATGCAACAAACACTCATACGATGAACCAGACGGCAATTAAACGTTACCGTAACATTCGATCACTGCCGAATGCCCCCACAGTAAGCAAAAGTGTAGGCCAAGCTGTTCGCGTACTAAAAGGCTTTCTCGATTTAGATCATTGAATGTGTGACAGATTTGAAAACAGTGAATACTTCCGAAAGCGCATATGGTATGCGAACGTACCGCTAGCGCTTCAAGTGTTCATGCCCCTATAGCTTTCTTGTTCAGAAGCTAGGCCTGTACAACATTGTTATGCTGTATACAATCTCCACTGAGCTGAATGGGGCTGTCATGGCAGTAGTGCTGAGATTGGTGAACCAGGGAGACAATGGAAGCGGCTGAAATTGCACGCCTCAAGATAAATGTGTTAGTAGGGCGTCTGTAACCCTCTCTGAAAAAGAGATTGCAATGATTTCTTATCTTTGAGATGAACACGTGTGCGGTGAGACAGAGTGGCGACACGGTGATGGTGACGTTTGTGCGCCATTTGTGAGATTGTGGTAGACACGTGTATTTGCCTGCCATTATATATATATATTGATTGATATGTGGGGTTTAACGTCCCAAAACCACTATATGATTATGAGAGACGCCGTAGTGGAGGGCTCCGGAAATTTAGACCACCTGGGGTTCTTTAACGTGCACCCAAATCTGAGCACACGGGCCTACAACATTTCCGCCTCCATCGGGCCGGAATTCGAACCCGCGCCCTGCAGGTCAGTAGCCGAGTACCTTAGCCACTAGACCACCGCGGCGGGGCTATTTCTGTGGAGTGTGATAAAAGTACCATAACCTTCGTATCAATATAATGATATATGTAGCACGTCTACACACACACATATATATATATATATATATATATATATATATATATATATATATATATATATATATATATATATATATATATATATATATATATATATATATATATATAAATGTGTGTGTGTGTGTGTGTGTGTGTTCGCAATTAAAAAAAAAGATTAGTTGTAAGTCACCGCTCTGTCCTGTCTCCTCCTTTCTTTCCTGCCGTGTTTGCGCTGGGTTTTGAAATATGATTTATGGAGACGTGCTACATATATCATTATATTGATACGAAGGTTATGGTACTTTTATCACACTCCACAGAAAGAAAGAAGTGTAGGACTGCGAAATAATACCTTAGCATTAATGTTCAGGTACCTTTACGTTTTGTATGTGTTCTCCTCTCTTCCCATTTAAATGCAGTGCGTACATGAGCACCTGTGGCGAAAACACGTGATCAGTATACGCAGCATCGAAATCAGGCACTCCACACGACAGTCGCATGCGTCTAACGCAGCATATATACCACTTGCATTTTTAAACATCATCACTGTATAGTACTGGCCAGAATCAAGAAAAAGCGAAGGTACTGTAAACGCAACTACAATATTTGCAGAGCTCTCCATGAGAAATTTGCAGAGCTCTCCATGACAGCGTCTCTCATAATCGTATCGGGGTTCTGACACGTTTTATAATAATAATAATAATAATAATAATAATAATAATAATAATATAATAATAATAATAATAATAATAATAATAATAATAATAATAATAATAATAATAATAATAATATAGTAATAATAATAAGTATTATTATTATTATTATTATTATTATTATTATTATTATTATTATTATTATTATTATTATTATTATTATTATTATTATTATTATTATTATTATTATTATTGAGTCTAGAGGCTAAGGCGCTCTGTGGTCTAGAGGCTAAGGTGCTCGGATGCTGACCCGCAGGTCCCGGGATCAAATCCCGGTCGCTGTGGCCGCATTTTCGATGGGGCGAAAATGCTTGAGGTCCATGTCTTTACGTTTGGGTGCACGTTAAAAAAACCCCAGGAGGTCGAAATTTCCGAAGCCCTCTACTACGGTGTCTCTCATAATCATACGATGGTTTTGGTTCGTTAAATCCCAACAATTATTAAACGGTGGAGACCAAAGTGCATTGTAAGCTAGCGCGGCGCATGTGCCAACGGGCGGCATATCTCTTGTGTGTCTTGTGCGATGAGGGTTTAGGCACCTGAATCACTTTGATTTACATTCACAAGCATTTGCCGCAGATACACACAAGCGCGTCTGAAGATGCCATCGTCTATAGCAATCAAGAACGCTTAAAAATATACAACTATTGTCGGTTAGAACTTCAGCAGTCCGGAAAGGCCGCGTCCTAACATCAAAAGCGCGACAACCATATAGCCTATAGCCAGGGAGGAGGGCAGGTGAGATTTAAACGTTCCCCGAAAGTTTTTCATTTTGCTTGCGTATATATTATACACGCACATGTACGAACACAGCACAAATGTACAAGAAATATAGTTGACCCCCCCCCCCCTAAAAATATCACAGCATATCCACGGAGTGAATGATGATGATTGGGGCGAAGCGATCGTCCATCCGTCCATCCATCTGTCTGTCCTTCCGTCAACTATACGATAACCACTGAAGCTACTTATTGCTATTATTTCCAAGGAGATATTCACACAACGCCATCTATTGAGCGATTCATAAAATACAGGTGGCTGCGTACTGCTACTACTACTGCTTAAGAGGAGGAAATGTCCAACACCCTTATAAACCTCGGCCTAAAAAAAAACAAAAAAAACCTCTGGCTATGCCCCTGGCGACATTCGAACACCTAGGCAACTAGAGAAGTTATCTCACTCACGCACTCGATAACGCTCTCCGAAGATGCAATCGCTTTCCGGCTCATGAACACAAGCCATTGGTGCACACTTTTTTTGCATCAGCCTTTGTGGATAGAATTCCGCGAAGTTGTGAAGTTGCATGCGACTATATAAGCTCTGTAAGAGTCTGCGCATCTTTTGCGCAATGCAATATCAGCGGGCTGCAGATCTTGTGACGGCAATGGCCACTACAAGCAAATCAATAATTACGAAGTGATGGTGACGTGAACACCAAAATTCATGTGGCTTAAATCAATTACACCCCGATTAACAAATGACGTGACAATAAACTATTTTTAACTCCAAACTAACACATGTATGTGAACATGAAGTTATATTATTTATTGCATGCAAGTAACGTTTCGGCCGTAGGACCTTAGGGGCTTCTCAGCAACCTCTGAAAAAAAGGACGCACGAGCACTTTTTTTCCCTCCCAGCGTCTTCCGTATTTGCGACACGAACACGATTAGTGACGCCAGCAGTTGATTCACGTGACGTCAGCATGAAATCATTTTTTGATTGGTCGGTAAGAGAGATTCAATAAACTGTCGCCTACCCTGTTGTGCTATGCAGTCGCACACTGGTTCGGCCTTGCCTAGCACGACCAGTGCGCGTGATAAAGCGATGATCACTTTGTTTTCCGCATTTGCGACTGCACAGGTGGAGACAGCAGCGTGTATTCGAGAAACGAAAAAAAATCCTGTCTGGCTCAATTCTTAGAGCTGATATTCCACGTGTTTCATGAAGAAATTAGGGGCGAGGAGAGAATAGCGCTTTTACAGGAAGGAGTGAAGGCGTGAAAGAAATCATGTCTCGCTTTTGAACTCGCTGTGGTTTAGGGGCCCTGACACCCAATTTTCGATCATAATCAGTGACACGCGAGTTGTCCATTCACAAATAAGGTAACGAAATTGTATCGGATTCGTCGAGGCACATAATTTATAATTTAATCTTTTATAAGCACGCGAATGGTATATGAGAGTCGGGCAACAACTGCCACGCTCGCCAGCCCTGACAGAAGAAGCAGCTACAGCTGCACCACCGTCTGCATTCCGGCGAATGATGTCGTTTCGTGGCCAGCTGCACGTGAAATTGAGATATTTTAGCTTTCTTTAGCTTGTCACCGAAATCGAACGACCTGCAGGTGCTGGAACATTGGCAGACCATGGCACGACGCTTCCGCTTCGGCATGCAGCACATGATACTGTACACGCCGTGGCAAAATGGCGGTCGCCGGTGGTGGGCTGGGTTTATAGCAGTCAACTTTTAGGGCTTGTATTGCACTGAAATGTTCGTTTACCGTTCACCTATCATATCTGCATAGGTGCAGTAGACACGCTGATCCTGGTTTTCACTGAAAAGCAAACTGCTGAGTGACCTTGCCATGGCCCCTTGAATGTACTCTATTTGACTGTAGTATGCACTTGAATGTACTATATAACTTGTACTATTATTTGGGGGCTGAAATTGCGTCAACACAGCGTACATCTTGCTCTAGTTAATTGGCTTTATCAATAAAAAGCAGCGGGAACGTTCCTGGTCTGTGTTCCAAAATAACAACGGTACTCGAGAGCGATGTGCCGACAGTATTCACGTGACGTCACAAAACCCGACCCCCACGGTGTTGGTACATTTGTTGAAAGACAGCCTCAATGACGCCAGTTGAATTCACGTAAAAAAAAAAACAGGCTGAGACTGATAACTGCAATCGTTTACACTGATCCAGCTGTTTTTAGTCTACGCATGATCGCTTCTGGAAATCGTTGAATTGAACACGTGACATGCTTCATTGATGTTTGTCTGATATGAGCTCTTGCATACAGTAAGAACGTTTTCCTCAAAAAATGCATCCCGGTGTTTTTCAGCGACGTGATGGAAATCCGATGGACAGCGCTAATCATCACCAGTGGCTGTCTGTGCATCAGCGGAGCCTTGGTCTCGGCGAACACTGCCAAGTACTACACCTCAGTCACTCCCTGTAAGTGGTAGTTGCCTTCTAGAACAACCTATCAATAAGTGAGTCATTTGTCTTCGCTCAACGAGCTGCAACTTCATCGAACTTATACACTTCAGTGTAGGCGTATTCACGTATGTATGTCAGTGCTAGGTAGCCCAGTTTTGCTGTAAGATTTCGATGGGGAATTGTCTGGATAGTGTACGAGACTTTTAAAACTGAGTGACCATAGTGTGTGGTATTTTGGATTTACGCTGTGTCTGTCTTATTATTAGTCATCTTGGCATTGGTGTACTGCATAGTTGGTGAGCTAGGGACAAGTATTGTGTGCACTTTTATTGACAAATCAATCGATAAGAAATGTGCACAGTCAATGCATTGAACCTGCATGTGGTCACCTTATAGACAGTCATTCTTTGTGCTAATGAAAGTGAACGGTACATTTTTTGCGTGTCTTTAAAGAAACGAATATTCAGAAATCACTAATCTTCCTTGCGTTCATTACTGCAGGGAAACAATGGACTATTGGAAGGAGGCCATGCGAAGGCGTGCAAGGCGAAACTGGGCTTTGCATGTTCAACTGGGAATGCATCCGCCAGGAAGGCACCATGCTGTCCGCCTGCATGGACGGTTTTCTGCTTGGTGCCTGTTGCAAGCTTCCTGACGTAGCGAACGTCACAACTTCTATGTGGACCGAGCCGAGCGCGTACACGACCCAGGACTTGTCCAAGGTCAGCAGCGTCGTCACAGTCGATGCCAGCCCACTGCCGTCTCCTTCTGACACGCACCCCGAAGCATCGCGACTCCCTCCAAGCACGACCACTACGGAGGCACCCACGACAGTCAGCGCGAGACCAACGACGCTGTTGTCGAGACCTAGGCCGACGACTCTGTGGCCCATGCTCACGCTCCCTTCAACAGTGAAGCGACCGGTGGTCGTGCGTCCAACGCAACAACCACAAGCGACGACTTTGAGCAATCACCACAAGCCACCGAGCATCACTGCGCCGGCCATGACCACCTGGATGACAACGCGGCCAAACGTACTGTTCACGCCGACTAAACTGGCCTTGCGACCTTCGCCATTCGTTCCGACAACAATGTATGTGCAGCGACCCTCGCTACATACTGTACTCGCAAGCACGCCCATAGGGATGCTAAGCTCTCTCATAACGAGGCCTTTCCTGCGGCCAGTTACAATGGCCATGAAAACGCGCCCGACGGTCGCAACATTGAAGCCAGTCAAGAAAACTACCGCGGTGAACACTCAGTCCGACGCAGCGACCACACCAATGCAAGGGGACACATATACGACGAGCCAGACACCTTCGCGACCTACGCCAACGAAAAAGTACGTAACTGTCTCAGAAACACCTTTACAAACCGTGACAGCGCAGAAGTACGGTTCCCCTATCACAACGTCTTCGCTGGCAACGCCGGCGGAAACTCACGCAGCTACCACGGAATCCTCCGCTTTCCAGACTGCTTCGACACACGAGTACGAGTCCCCTACTGCGATCATGCTGCATTCCACTACACCACAAAAGTATGGGTACTCATCAACTCACTATTCAACATCTCAGTCCCCGTTTCAAACAATGCCATATACCACAGGGGAATACACATATCATGCTGTCAGCAGACTTCCGCCATCAACACTGAATGACCTTTCGGATCTCGACGCCGGAGTAAAGACCCAGGGGTATCCCACAACGCTGGGTATGCTTATGCCCATGGAAAGCGGAAACGTTCACACGACGCATCATCCAGGGTTCGTTGATCTAACAGAGACCACTACGACGCAACCGCCCCCGACAAACGTGATGGAATACACGCTTGATTTTGACGTAGAAAACCGACCAACAGTGACAGAGCACGTTTACGGTGCTACGTCTGGCCAGACGTCATTCGGAGAGGTCACAGACGTCACCGTTTCTGACGTCGCGTCAGCAGTCGTCTCGACTTCCACGGAAACGTTCTCTACGCCGCGACCGTCCACAACGACCACCAAGAAGCTGAAAACACGCTCTCCAACGACGACGCCCCAAACAAAGGCTCGACCTTCGACGATAGTGTCCAAACCAAGCCGCACCAAGCCTCGCCCGCCACCATCCCCAACAACAATTTCCAATGACATACAGCACATGACTTATCCTTCTAAGGCCACGCTTTGGCCATCGACGGTCTTCAAAATTCCGTTGCGTACAACGCTCGCCGCTAGGCCATCCACAAACACGCTCTTTGTAGGAACCGCCACTCGGCCAATGTCAATTACTCAGGCCCACATAACGTCAACTACACCTCAGACGACGACCACGCTGCCTAAACGCACAAAGAAGCCAACGACAACGACGACAGCAATGAGAGAACCGATACCCGTAAAAACGACAATGGCGGTGTCAGCCGCGACCAAGCCGAAAAGCACGCCGAAGCCCACGAAGCCAGTCCTACCTATGCCGGCCCGTCCTGCGAAGCCTACAAAGGGACCGCTGCCCACCAAACCTCCGACAAAGAAGACTACACAGAAGCCTCCTTCCAAGATGCCGCCGTCCTCGAGCACATCCACGCGTCCCTCAACAGTGAGCGTGACGACGACTGAGAACTTCGTAAACAGCACGGATCCGTTGACGTCTACGAGCAGTAAGCAGTGGGACTACCGGAAACGTAAGATCGATGGGCTTGTCATCAATGCACATTTCCTCTTTTTTTCCCCTCTGCTTTTCTTCTTTTTTTTGTTGCTTTAAAGCACAATTTTCTGTACGCGTAAGCTCACGTTTCCAGCCACCTTTCTTCAAGCCAAGTCCGCGTCTGATTTAGGTGTGATAACAGGTTCCTAGATATCGGTAGAAGAAAACTTTGCATTTTAGCCCCTCGAAGCGAGCCTAAATTGGCCGGTAATCGAACCTGCGCCTTCGCGCCTATCTGTGCAATTATAAAGCCGCTAAATGGCGTCGCTTAACGTTGACGTGCGTCTGTCAAGACAGCGAGAACGACAGTTGCTCTACATAAGTGCATAGCTTCGGTTCAGTGGCAAAGCCAGCAAGTAGCCCACCAGACCTCTCCCCTCTCCCGAAATTTTATTTCTGCATAGCATACAGAGCTTAAAATTACCACGGGCCAGTGCGCCCTCCCCCTCTCCTTAAAATTAATGAGCCCCCCCCCCCCAAAAAAAAAAGAAATTCTGCCTATCCCCTCTGCGGTTTATTATGCTCTATCTTCGGTAATACTTTTTTGGCACAAGACATCGCAAGACAGACTACAGGACAAAGCACTGTGTCCGCCGTAACACATTGACGGTATGTAAGCACTCCTAAGCACTCCTGTTCCCAGCTTGCGCTTTCCGCACTGTGCTCTAATATGGCGGCTTTGATGCCGTGCACCAAGGGCTGCCATATCTTTTAGCAGTTGACCTGATTCACAGTGATAACGTCGCCGAATTATTACTGACCTGTGTACGTGAATAACGAAAGAGCCTTCATGCGATACACTGTGAAATTAACCATGACGTCACTTATTTCGCCTTCCAACAAGTTTGTACCTCAACTCGGTGGCTTCAATGACGTCAGTGCGAGCTTTTCATATAAGGTTCACTTGTAGGGCCAGTTGATGCATGCATGAAACTTCGTTTGCACGCCAGCACCCGCATAATACATCATGTTGTGAGATCAAAACCTAATTAGGACCTTGTAAATACCCAAAAACTTCACGACGACTTGGCATTTGGTACGTGGCAAGCTGGTGATTTTGGAACCTCGAAAAAGTGATTTACTAGCACGAGAAAATTTTTTTCCTCCCTAGTGTCCTTTTAAGTAGGTTTACCCACTGCTTGTGTGTTGTCCAATGTTATGTCAGCGGGTCACGCAGTATGGTGAAATGTTTACTTAGCGTATATTGGACATGTTAGTATGATTTGTAAGAGCGACACTTTTTTTCTTTTTGTGTTTTTGCAGCACACAAAATATTTGGGGCAAGTGTATCGTGTAGTGTGAGTGAATTGAGTACCCACATGCACGGACGACTATTAGACGATATGCATTAAAAACTATGGTTGTGCTGCCATCTTTAGGAAATACTGCTTCTATAAGGGAACAAACTAATACGCGTATAGAGCTTTGCACATCCACAAGCTTAGTACAGAAGTATATCAGCAGGCCATTTTTCTCCCGGACGAACTATCAGCTTCGATTCATTAACATTTTTATAGCTAGATAGGTTACCTTCAAGCAACTTCATGTGGTTACACGCTTGCATCATTTGGTTTACCTGTTTATCGTTCTCTCAAACCCAGTGGTTAGTCTAGCGCCCTTCTTTTTTTTGTCTTAATCCTGTGACAAGCTATTCTAATAATCCCTTACGATAAAGCGTCCTGCCATTGAAATGCCGGCAAGATAACAATCTAATCGATGACTATCTGATCGCCTAGCGTATCAGCGCTCGCACATTTGGCGTCATGTTGCTTTTCACTTTATCTTACAATTTTTCTTTTTGACCCATAAAGACTGCGGAGTCAGGCCGCTACATCCCCAGGGCCGGATCGTCGGCGGAAGGAACTCGTTCATCGGTGAATGGCCGTGGCAAGTACGTTTTGCACTACCCGCAAGTCTTCCTGCTTCCTTATTTACGACTAGACGTGCCGCAGGCGATGCTCATCTCGGGACGCTCAGAGGAGTGTCACGGCGCCTATATATATTGTATTTTGTTTTCACAGGTGCTCGTGAAGGAGGCAACATGGCTCGGCCTGTTCATAAAAAATAAGTGTGGCGGCGTGTTGATCAGCGACAAGTACGCCCTAACTGCGGCCCACTGCCAGCCGGGGTAAGATATTTTTTTTCTCTTCCCGTTCGAACATAAGCCCTTATCAATTTCGAATCTTCTCGATCGCACTATTTTGACAAGGAATATGTACTTCATCACGGACAAGATGTAAAACGATGAGACTTCCATTCACGATCATTTAACCCCACGAAGCACGAGTCTCAAAACAAAAGCAACAACTTGATCCCTCAAATTTCTCGGCATACAGAGCCGATTTATGCTGTAAGAATAGCCAGGTATTATTTCCACTTATAACAATTAGCATTGAATTCTGGTATGTGGAATTTTTTTGCTAACGAAATATTAGGTTCCGATGCAACATGTAAAACGAAAAACACTGCGTCTTGTGGTTTAGTGTTTCCCAGTACAGTCGTCTTTTGTTAATGTGGACCCTGTTAATATAAAATCCCGGCAGTATGGACGAAATTATAGCCTACCACTCTCACGCCATGCAACTCTGTTACATATAAACCCACAGTTCGGACTATATACTGAAGACGAAACGGGCAAATACGGGCACTCCTATTTCCTAAGTATGGACACGGGTCAAATAAGTAAATAATTTTAAAACAAAAGCAAGAAGTTCAGCGCCTGTATGCAAAGTAACTTTCCGGGATAGTGCCGGATTGTCATCAGATTCCCTGCACGACGCACGTGCGCGCACATTCTGGAACTGGTGCGAACAGTGACAGCGCGATAAAAAAGCCTAAACGCTTCGCCCAGCATCATATTCCCTGTCACAACCACGTGTTGCGCTTTTTCCCTTAATGTAGAATCAAAGGCATCAGTACAAAAACATGTCTAGTTTTTCGCTTCAGTAAAACCATGTTCTTTTCAGTACTATCATTCTTTACGGTTCGTGTTTTTAGCTTGATTTGGTATTACTCGCGTTATGATCACACCGAAGTAAAGGTGTTCAATAAACGCGACAGGAGTGTATAGTTAACTTATAGGCTATAGAAAAGCGATACAAAAATTATTTATGCCGTGAACACTGTATTTGTGTCGTACTTTGGGAACTAAATTATTTGTGGCATTACAATACACAGTTGTAAGAGTGTCGCACGTTTCTCATGATATTAATAACGTATGTACATGCATGGTGACCGTGTTAGCTGTCTCGTTCGCATACTCGACATTTACTTTAGAGAACGCTCGAGCAATGCTGCACGTAACGCCAACGCATTAAAACAGCGAAATCGGCGATGACATGAACAAGCACGCAAATAAGTCTGCAATGATAGCGCAACTCGGACTGTAAGTTGCTTCTCGAGAGGCAGTCAGTATGTCAATATGTCCTCTTACCACTCGCGAATACCAGGTTACCGGAGACATCCATGGCACGATGAATAATGAATGAATTGTGATTGTGCCCAATATGTCGGGCTCGCAGCCCTCTAGAGCATATACCAGTAACAAACCAGCGGATAACTGGTAGTGACATCTGGTGGCGTTACCAGTAGCAAAAAGCTTATGCGGAAGCTAACAACATTCCGGTAGCGCAAATCAATACGTATCAACCACTGCAAGCTCCAAAAACAACTTCATTTGGTGACGAACTCAATATGGAAAGTTCTTGCGGCACTCGCCACTCTCTGCAAGTCCTCGCGCTGCCAAGCTCGCGAGGATGCGAGATAAATATTTGACTATGGGGTCAGCATTTTGGAGATGCAAGAAGACCCGGTGGTAAAATTAATCTCAAGTCTCCGCCCCGCCGCGGTGGTCTAGTGGCCAAGGTACTCGGCTGCTGACCCGCATGTCGCGGGCTCGAATCCCGGCTGCGGCGGCTGCATTTCCGATGGAGGCGGAAATGTTGTAGGCCCGTGTGTTCAGATTTGGGTGCACGTTAAAGAACCCCAAGTGGTCGAAATTTCCGGAGCCCTCCACTACGGCGTCTCCCATAATCATATGGTGGTTTCGGGACGTTAAACCCCATATATCAATCAAATCTCAGGTCCCCTCTATGACGTGCTGCAGAACGTCCGTCATGAGAGGAAACAAAGGCCGCATTATGACAAAAAAAGGGACGTAATGTGTCGAGCCATGTCGTCAAGTTTTCACCGCATAGATTGAGCACGGACCGCTACAGCTTACGAACTGCGTTCTGCATGGACTGCAATACTGTGCACGGACAGCTACGGCATACGAACTGCGCTCTGCATGGACGCTGCTTTTCTGCACGGACAACAGTATGCGAACTGCTTTCAGCATGGAAGCTCCGTTGTGCACGGACAGTGTTGTGCTGGTTTTTTCCTTTCGGAGTGTTGGAGAGGAAGCGTTTTCGACACATTCTCAGAGGGGGCCTGCTGCGGCACAGGTTCCTGTCATCGCTGCTGGTGATCCTGGGCGAGCACGACCTGTCCGGGGACATCGGCCGCTTCAAGCCGGTCTCCATTCCCGTGCGGCGCATGATCGTGCACCGCCGATACAACCCGGCCACCTTCGAGAACGACCTGGCCCTCCTCGAACTGGAGCGACCGGTCGAGTTCCAGCCGCACATCGTGCCCATCTGCCTGCCGGGAGGAACGAGGACTTCACGGGCAGGACGTCCTACGTCACAGGATGGGGAAAGCTGTCGCACGGTAAGCTTAAGAGCTTTCCTAAATTGACCGGTATTCTGGTATACGCGAGGAAGTTTACAGGACACTGGCTTACCTAACGGCAGCAACCATGTCTTGTGATGCATCAGGCGACCCTAACAGGCCTTTCTACAAGCATACGGGCGTCGCCAACGGGTGCGCAAGTGCTCCTGGGAAAGTTGGCACGCTGCATGCAGCTGCCGCGACAAGCGCGTGGGGCTCACGCATTAGCTTTCCGTTTGTGACGTGCCAGCGCTTCTCAGATCGAGTGAATGGCAAGGTGCGTTATGTTACTGCGTGATTCACTCATTAACTTTGGTGTTTAGCTGATACGGCCTGTCCGCTATTTTCGCCTGGCTGCTGTTAAACCAGCCCAGCGGTTCAGAGGCTTCAGTTTTATTAATATTATTTAACGCCAGTACGCCTTCAGCATAAATGAAAAAACAAACAAAAAACAAAACACAATCTGGTTGCTTAGGAGTGTAAGAGAAGTCAATCATTCACAGATGCACTAAAGATCAATGGCCATCAGCACTATTGACGAGTTAATTGTAAGGTTCTGGCAGGCGCGTAGCAAAAAATTCTTTCGGGGGGTGGGGGGTGGCATCGGTGCGTTTGTACTGCAATATATGGCCGTCATGACTGCGCATGCGCGGAAAACCATCCACCGGCATGATTCTTCCGTCGCCCACCCCCTTTATATTATGATTAACTTGCCAGTATGATTTATTCAGGAAAAATAATGAAACATAAACGAATGGATATTTAGCAGGTTGACTACGTTTGCTACCCTATCACCGTAACGTGCACCTGAATGAATGTGCAAAACATAAAAAGTGGAGTAACACAAGGAATCTAGGCACTCTCATGAACAGTCGGCCAAATTTTCAGGCAGCCTGCACATATGGCACTGTTTTCTGTGTACCTTTGCCATATGACTTAAAGGAGCCCTGAAACACTTTTTCAAGTAACCATGGAGTGAATTTGCTGGAAAAGCTTATTGGCTCACGAAGTCAACGCAGCAAAAATTTTAAGAATCCGTCCAGTGGGGAGAGCAGTTACAAAGGTTTGTCGCACGCTGCGATTGCATTCTCTCGTCCTGACGAAGGCGCTGAAAGTTAAGCAGGGAGGGATGAATGGACCACAGAAAAACGTCACGTGAGCCTCGCGACCTTAAGAACTTTTAACGCGATAGCATTAAAGATCTCGTGTAGCAGAAAACCCGCCGCTGGCGTCAGCCCCGTTGGTTGTGAGTGAAAAATCGTCTGTGCGTCTGTGACCGAAAAATCAAGTTACCGAGATAGCCGCGGGAGGCGGCTTCTTGTCCACGCATGAACGCGCGGTCCCATTGGAAAAGCCGCGCATTCGAAGAAAAAAGTGCTCAAGGTCACGAGGCCTGGTAGTTTCTTTGCCCTGCCTCCTCCCTGCTTCACTTCCAGCCCTTTCATCGGGACGAGAGATGAGATAATGCAATTGCAGCATGCGACAAACTTTTGTAACTCCACTCGCACTGGACAATGGATTTTTAAAACTTTTGCGGCGTCGAATAGGTGAGGCAATAAGCTCTTCTAGTGAATTCATTCCATGGTTACTTGAAAAAGTGTTTCAGGGCCCCTTTAAAGCATTTTGTTCGACAGGTGTCACGACGAAAACGAGCCCATTTGGCGATAATAGCGCGGGCTGGTCCAATCTACTGTGCGCGTGTTTTTGTGCGTACGTGTGTATGTAACAAACCATATGAATAAGTAGGCACTTAGCGGTTGAAAGGTACACTAGGGGTTGGATTTAGTTATACCGTTGAACTCTTAAAGGCGAAGCTTAAGGGCCCCCCAATGTTTTTTTTTTTTTTCTTCGAATGCGCGACTTTCTGAGTGTGCGTGCGCGCATGCGTGGACGAGTGGCGGCCTCCCACGGCGATCTCTGTAACGAGTGAGCGCGCCATGTTCAATTCAACCAATGGCTGATAGATGGTCTTGGTACGTTTGATTTTTGGGTATATTCCATGACTTGTCGAGAGAAGAGAAAGCTATTTTCAGGAGACTGATAATTTATGTGAATTCCAGGTTGCTTGCTGCGCTATAAGAATTGGCTCGCGTGTTTTCGGGAGCCCCTACTACCAATCGGCAGCGTTTTCTGACCAAGCTCAAAAAGTGTTGCAGGGCCCTTTTAAGCTTTAAAAAGGGTGAGCACAAGTGCATGCCTTCAAAGCACATGCCAGGACAATTTTTTTTGCAACTTCGTTTTATCATATATGGGGTTGGCCGACAAAAAAAATGGTCGCTGCACAGGATGGTTGAAGTTCCGGCCGGTTGTACTTTTTTTTTTCTCCAAGTGCGTGCGCATGTTTCACACCTGAATGGTCACTAACTCGCTTAATTAAACTTCGTCTTCGCTGATGTTGGCAGTGTGGAAGGGCGTGTTTGTATACGTAGGTAGCAGTCCGGCCTTACGTCTGTCGCTATTTTATTTTCCACTACAATTTTAAGGCTTTAATTACCTGCTAAGTCACCTGTTTTCGACCTCCAAGTTCATTGTTATCTCGTATTTAGGCTACTCAACAGTATTTCCTTTCATTCTCGTAGAATTTTGGCGCTTTTGAAAGACGAACCTCTTCTCCAAAACCATCTGTCAATTTGAAAGTGCTAAGGATTAAATCGAATCCCAGCTGTCCATTTTTGGGTAGACTTTGGTGGCGGTGACGTTAAACCCTGAAAACCCGCCATCCTGGTTGCGCCACTGAACAATGCATGTCCCGTTTTTTTTTTCGTAGTTTGAATTTCAACTCTTAAGTAATTGAGGTTAAATTAGAGAACTCGCAAACGTATTTATGCAATATCTATCGAACGCATGATGTGCCACTTTCTTTTTCGCCTCTTGTTGCCGTACACATTTTGGTAAATCTTCTTTTGCTCACCGTCACTTTTATATTTATTTAGTTTTTTCATTTATTTTTTGTGACTTCATGGTGAAGCCTTTTATCATTAGTTGCTGTTGACAGGCGCCATCTATCACCAAAATACTGATTGGTTGTATTGTGAATGAGAAGAATATTCATGGTAGACAGTCGCGAAAATAAACGTTACTGCAACAGCAGTGCCCTGCACCTGCCTTCGCCCACCCCTCGCTTTTGACCTGCTCCATCACAATCATTGTTACAGTCGAGCAGCAAATATTGCTAAGCTTCTCACCACACCACTCTACACGTCAAATCAAAATGAGAGGCAAGGCGAAGCATGCGGTTGGACGCTGACAAATTAAGAGGTCATTTGACAAACCTTGTCTTGTCGCCCCGCCGTAGTGGTCTAGTGGCTAAGGTACTCGGCTGCTGACTCGCAGGTCGCGGGATCTGAATCCCGGCTGCGGCGGCTGCATTTCCGATGGAGGCGGAAATTTTGTAGGCCCATGTGCTCAGATTAGGGTGCACGTTAAAGATCCCGCAGGTGGTCGAAATTTCTGGAGCCCTCCACTACGGCGTCTCTCATAATCATATGGTGGTTTTGGGAAGTTAAACCCCACATATCAATCAAGTCAATAAAACCTTGTCTTAAATTCGCAACTTTCATGGTGCATCTAAGCTCTAAAGAAAATGCCTAAGCGTACCATAAATAAGCCACACTATCCTCTTCTCTCTCAAGTGCATATCATAATATATGAAATATTTAATTTTCAGTGGAACACCCAATAATCACCTTTCTTCGTGACGCCCCTATACTCGTCGCAGGTGGGTCGGTGCCGAACGTGCTGCAGTACGTGCAGGTGCCGATATTGAGCAACGAGAAGTGCCAGAAGATGTTTCTGCTGGCGGGACACATAAAGTCCATCAGGGAGAACTTCGTCTGCGCTGGCTACGACGGCGGCAACCGAGACTCCTGCGAGGTATACGCTAATGAAATGAACAGCCAGATGTCTCACTTTTTTTTTCGCTGCAAATTAAAATGATTTAACTAGCGATGTGTAACGTGGATAAAAGCTAAATGTAGTAAACTATGGTCAGCTTGGTTCTCCAGGATTGCGCTTGATTACAGATTAAGTCGAGGAAGAATATTCTGGAAAAAATACATATATAAAATAAATCCTACGTATACTTTTACGGGAAACGGACCTTAGCGCAGTCAGTAGCGCCTGACGTCATGAGTGATGTATCGTTGCTGTCGTTCTTTATGTGATACAGGGTTACATAGACTTCTCGCGCATGTGTGCGTTTGTTAGGATGTATGCGTACGTGCATGTATCGAGGAATAATACAATGAAGAAACATGTAAACAGAGGTAAAGATGGACGAAGTAGTGAAACTCTCAGGAGTGTAATAACAATGGTAATAACAAAATGATCAGTATTATAATCAAGCAGTTCAGCCACACATTAAACGCTTACTCAAGCTGTGCTCTTGTTCTGCCTGAACAAGCCCAACGGAACGCTGGACACATCATTGTCGTTAATGATTTTTTTTTTGCTGATTGTGTTGCTTCATAATACTGGAGCTTGCCAGTATCTAGCTAAAAACTAAAGACCCATCGATGCAAGATGCGTGTGTTGAGATAGCACTCACGTTCTGTGTACCGTGAAGCTTCGCTGATAATTTTCGTTTGGATATCGTTGCAGTGACGAACGCAGTGAGCTGCCACCGAAGCCCGTCGTTCACGTAACAAAATGGCACGATGGCAATCATTCTTTCTCACGATGCCATGGTTAATGTCCCATTTCCCCCAATGAAAGTGTAGTCGAACGCCTTTTGACCTCGGATGATTAGGTTCTGGCGATTTAGTTTGCCCCATCACCTAATATCAACGGCAGAGGGCAGCACATGAAAATAAAATGGGCGGGTTGCTTTGAATGGCAATGACGTGGAAAATGAGTGAGTGTAACGTTTGTACAATCATGCTTCGCAGGGTGATTCGGGTGGTCCGCTGACACTGCTTCGGGACGACGGTCGCTGGGTGTTGGTGGGCACCGTGTCGCACGGGATTCGTTGCGCCGAGCCCAACATGCCGGGCGTCTACATGCGCACCTCAGCGTACCGCGCCTGGATAGACAGCGTCACCGGACAAAAGTCCTGACAAGTTCGGATCCTTCGTTGGACCCTTCCGCTACGTTAGCAGGAAGCATTGCGTGAACGCCTCCCCCCTTCCTTTTGAACTGTGACAGATTTACTGCGTCACCACTTTCCGATCACTATCGCAGTGAGGAAGTCTGCGTGGACGGTGGTGGCTTTACCGAAGACTAGCAGGATTTGCAGTGACTACTTTCGACAATCATCCCGTTCAAAGAACACCCATAGACATCTCGGAAACTTCGTCGTACACGGCTGCTCGTAACAGGTGGCTTCTCCGTCGATTCTATAGGCAAAGCCTTCTTGACAGCTCCCTTAGTTCAGAAACACCTTTGCTCAAAGCGGTTATGAGTGAAATCAATGAAAGCAAAAGACGTTAAGAGTTAGTAGCCGTGATTTATGTATAGAAAGGAAGGGTCGCGAACGAACAATCTGTGAAGACCCTTGTATGACAGCCGGACTTGTCTGTTTGTGCGCGAGTTGTGTGTGGCCTGCTTAGCATGCGTTGAGGAGTTGGAAAGAACAAAAACAAAATATGCCTTCCTTGTACCGGGGGTAGAAAATTTTAGTTTTGTGGTCACGGACCAACTGAAACTAGATGGTTTTTTTTTGTTTGTTGGACTTTAGTATTTATTTTCATCCAGGACAATCTGATGTGGGATCGATATTAGAACAATAAAGGCGTAAAATCATGGTCTATTTTATCAGTTTTTGAAATTGTTGAATGAAATGCACTAGGCTGCTGACCCGCAGGTTGCGGGATCGAATTCCGGCTGTGGCGGCCGCGTTTTCGATGGAGGCGAAAGTGATTCATGCCCGTGTTCTTAAATTAAGGTGCGCGTTAAATAGGCGCAGGTGGTCGAAAATTCTGGATCCCTCCACTACGGCGTCTCTCATAATCGTATGGTGCTTTTGAGATGTTGAACCCCAGAAATAAAAAAAAAATACTCGTAGTTATGGCCCATTGTAAGAGCTCAGCGTGACGCGTGACTTTGACAGAAGCGAAATACTTTTGGTGCGCCAATCAGATAAATGTCGGCACTTGCCTGTGCTAAGCTAAACAAATGCAGACATCATTGCGCCGTACTTGCAACGTATATGGAAAAGCACAACAAATTTAAAATAATCGTGCAATTTGTTTCTCTGGATAGATGGATGGATGAAAAACTTTATTGGGGTCCTGAAGGATTCCACCCCCGTTTTACAGGGGTACGATCAGCGGGCTACAACACAAAATTGATCTGTGGGACACCCTTTTTCTGGGCATTTCATGCAACAGAGGCATATTGAATATTTCTGAGAATGATGTCGATCAGATTGTATGTGGTCTGTCAAGGCGTATATGGTTTGTTTTGTAGGAAGTTATTGGCTTGTGATGTGCTGCAGTCTGTGACATGTCCTGTCTCCTTCTATGTGCTTCTTTCTTGCCCTTAATTTGTTTTTAAATCGTCCAAAAGAACAACCTACCTGCAGGATAACTCTATCAACAGCTGATAAAAGCACCGCTCGCTATACTCGCTGTGTGAATTAGTGTAAACAAAGTTTCGATGAGACTAAGGGAAAAAGTGCCACCATATCCACGAAGTGAATGATGATGAGTGGGCGAAGCTCCGGAGGTAAACCTGGTAAACCATGAATCCTCTGTACATTTTGCCCACTCGATTTTATTACATCGCTCCCCCTAGCGTACGTCGCTGCACTAAATCGAACGATTGCCTTCAACCAATGACACGCGCCATATGTGACATCATTCCTATTTTATAAGATCTCGCGTCTTTCATCAACTACAAGTAGCGCTTTCTAGTTTATAACATCTTGCATCTTTTCATCATCAGCTACAAGTACCACAATCTAGTAAACACTACAAGAACTAAACGAGAGGTGGCTACATACAGGAGACGGTACCGCCATCTAGTGAACACTGCAAGAACTAAGCTAGAGGTGGCTACATACATGGGACGGTACCGCCATCTAGTGAACACTGCAAGAACTAAACTAGAGGTGGCTACATACAGGGGACGCACAGCCCACGCCCTAAGGAGCTTCGCCCCTAAAAAAAAAGCCACATCATAAGTGCGCAGTGGTTCGCCACGTCGCGCAATCCACCTGCAATCAGTCCTGACTGCGTATATAAGAGGGGATAGATATCAAGTTTTATGGTTTTGTTCCAGCCAAGCACTGCGAAGCACGTGAAGACCGCCTTCGCAGACAAATTTTGTATTTTTGGGGACGAAGTGATATAGTGACCCCTGCCAGGAGCCCGATTAGTTGCAATTGAATAACGAACTTTTTTTTGGTGACTGAAGTAAGGGTCCGTGCTTGCAATATAGACTGAAAAGCAGTCTGGCTAAGTCGTAGTTTTGCTTGACAGAATTATTCCACTATTTTTGTCCTACAAGACATCCGGTTGCAAGGTTTAAGTGCGTCGAGTCATGGTTACACGTACGTTTGTAAGACGCGGATGACTTGTACAGAGCTCCCTAATGCGCTGCGGAGGTTTGATCTGGAGGTGTCACGTGCAGCATTTAATCTGACAACTAGTCGAAGGCACAGAATAAAGATAACGGTTGCCTTTTCACTATCGGCTGGCAAGAAATGATTGCGAGTGAAACTTAAAATTAAGCATGTGTGCGTAGGGATCGACACCATAGGAAACGGGAGGCACAGCTGAAGATGACAAACGTTTAAAGGGTTAATAAAGAAACCAGTGGTCCAAGATGTGTGATGAAGCGATTACTGCGCGCTTAATCGGTGAGAACATGCTGCTGCAAAGATTCTGTGAATGATTGCTCTAATATGGAAGACACAGTATATAGAACTCACTTTGGCTGATTTCACTTTCTCACTCGGCCTTCCCATCCTTCTCCACCACCAAGACGGATACATAACAGAACACAGTGTGGTCTGTGCGTGCCGTGTTCTTTGTCGCAAGCGCGGCGATTCAGCATCGTGGACTACTTGCCATGCTAGCAGACCACTGTTGGTAACTAGATACTTTACTCGTTAGTCTAGCAAATAAACACAAAAATGTTACTTGCCTAGGTGCGTTACCTCCAAAAAAAGGTAACGCGTTACCAGAAAAAAAATTATGTTTTTTAGTCAATGTGTCTTTGCTGCAGAAGATGCAATCAAGATTTTTTAAAATCTCAAATTTGTTTCACACAAAACTACTAACCCAAGATGCTCATATAACAATTATTATAACAAAAATATACACTAAACCTTATCAATGCCGTAGAGTTGCATGTGATGGCGGCCCCGCCGCGGTGGTCTAGTGGCTAAGGTACTCGGCTGCTGACCCGCAGGGCGCGGGTTCGAATCCCGGCTGCAGCGGCTGCATTTCCGATGAAGGCGGAAATGTTGTAGGCCCATGTGCTCAGACTTGGGTGCACGTTAAAGAACCCCAGGTGGTCGAAATTTCCGGAGCCCTCCACTACGGCGTCTCTCATAATCATATGGTGGTTTTGGGACGTTAAACCTCACATATCAATCAATCAATCGCATGTGATGGCTTCTAACTCGGTGCCACAGGGTGAAGCCAAATATTTTTCTCACTGGCACATTATACCAAATATTTAAATTTTATCATCCCCGATATCTACAAAGCAAGCATCCCGGACTCTCGATGAACTTAGTGATCCGCCTTTCCCTATTCTGAACGGCACATGCAGTGGAGCCCGTCGAAATCAGAACTGGTAGTCTCTGGCCTCCGGAATAGCCCACCGTGTCTCAGTAGGCAATCACGCAGACCTGCATCGGCGCTTTCAGCGAAGAAAAAAATGACCGAGAAGCCCCACGAGAACATGCCTCAGCCGGAAACTGGGAGTACCAGCAGCAGAGGTGAACGGAGCGAGTCCTCGAAAGGCACCGACGACCCACCAGAAGGAGAACCAATGGCGTTCGCAGCCGTGAACATCAGCGTGCAAAAATCAGAAGCTATGTTTCCGCTCGTCGTACGAAATTGTGTTTCGAAAGAGTGTGATGTTTTCTTTTTTATGGCATGCGCCCTGTAGAAATACATTCCGTTCAGAATACTGAAATTGGTTGCTGAAAACTTGCAACTGTGGTTCCATGTAGATACTGTATGCATCAGCTTGCGACGAATGAGATGGTGCAGGCCTTTTATTGAAAGTTCATAGTTCGCATAAGACAGGCCGCTGTAAAAGAAGACAGCTTGAAATCGCTTTCACACAGAGTTTCTCGATTATCAATTTAATTATAATTTCTAGTAGAATTAATCAGGGCATAGTTCGCGATGTCTTTTTTTTTGTTGCTGTTGTCAAAGATCATTAAGTATGGAGGCCATACACAGAGGCTATCATCGTGATCGCCAGCCTGATTTTAAGACGAATGCATTGGATATCTTTCAGCGACATATATAGCATGTGAATGAAGTGCTATGAAAACCCGCGCGAACACGTGACTAAGGATGTCATGCTGTGACTTCACCGTGACGTCATCGCTTGGCGCCCTCACTTGGTAAAGTGCGAGGGTCTCGTTCTGGCAGACTTCGTGCCTTCAGTTTGTATGCGAGGAGTTATCGGTCAGCTGCCGGCTAGTCGTGTTATCACGTGCTAAATGACGCTAATAGGCAAAAAAAAAAAATGACTGTCCAACACTCACCGCAATCGCAACGGGCAGTGCTGACTGAAGCTCCCTCGTTTATTGCACATACCCAAGAAAATGGGTGGGGGGAAAGCCGCCGTGGTAGCTCCGTTGGTAGAGCATTGAGCGCGTTATTCGAAGATCGTAGGGTCGGTTCTTGTCAACGGCAAGTTATCTTTTCGTCCACTTTCCTTCCGAATTACATTTTAAGTACTTCTTATAATATGTAATATACTTTCTTTGTCATAATTGTCGGTCAGTTCTCAATATTATTGTTTTTAACAAAGAAAAGTAGCCCTAAAAATTACTCTTCTTCCTTCAATGGAGTGCTGGTGGCAGTGCGTTTTGGTTCGGCTTCCCAAGCTCCAGACCAAGTGCCCACCGGAGCCAGAATCTTTGACCATTCTTGGGAACATGTC